TTACAGCCAATTTTGAAAAAGATGCATCTTAGCTCAGGAAATTGTTATTGAATATGTCAATGCTGTTGTAATGAAATGCTTCTTCTACGTATGTGTCTATTAAATAAAAATTTTTTTAAAAAAAGAACAAGTGAAAAAAAGAAAGCAAAATGATAATTCTTGTATAAACTTACAGAAGATTTGAAATTATACCACCAAAATTAAAAATGCCTACCTTAGAATAATTTTTGATAAATGGATAGATGTGATTTTAAATATGTATTTAACAAGCTTACACATACTTACTGAGCTGTAGAAGAGAGTAATTTGTTCATTTAAACAGTGAACAGAGAAATACAAGTTACCCTATTAAAAAAAAAAAAAAAGCTGGTGATCTTACTTCAACATACATTCAAAGAGATAAATATGCACATAGCCACTAAGTCCCTTCACCATTTAGAATAAAAGAGAAAACTCTGGAATGAGAAGTATTTCTTTTCCCAGTGAATCACCTTTCTCCTGGCTCCCCAGATCTCAGAAGCAGCCATTGTTCAAGGTGCTTAGAGAATGCATCCCTGTGTTTTATAGAACATTCTAGTGTGCAGATAGTGCTTTTCTTTCATTTTTATTAACAATTGAGAACTAGCAAAAACTTTAAAATTGTCAGTTATAGAAGGGGATAACAAAAATACAATCCAACAGAATATCAAGATTTCAGGCTCCAGTGTGGCTAGCTAATATTAACAATTCTAGCAAATATATAGCTTATATATTCCCCCGTTTTTTCACTTCCTAATCAACATGATTCCTCTGTACAGATCGTAACTTCAAATGAGAGTCATCCTGAGAGGAGTACCAATCACCTGTAAAACTCTGTGGTTGAAACTAACATGGGTTTCCAACCAGCTTGGATCCTCTCTCAGGATTGATAACAGTTTGCAGGAAGCTCCTCTTCCCTAGACAGCATACCCACTCATTTTACTTAAAAACTACAAGGAAGATTCTTATTGTTTTAGTTAGCTAATTCAAGTCTTTAAAAATTCATATCTTTTCAAGGTATCCTTTGATTAGCTTTTCATTATTGCCCCAAACCCTTCAAACATAACAAACTTGGTAAAATAAGTGAAATCTTTTGCTTTTAATAGTGCTTGAAGTCATTAATTTGTACAGAGTGAAATGATCCTTTATCAAAGATTTATCATTATAGATTTAGGGGTTTTGTTCTTCAAGCATTTTGGTATCAGATTAGAGCATCACTTCTCAGAAACTAGATGTTGTGATATGTTGTCGACCACGTACTTGAATCATCTTTGAAATTTTTCTCCTGAGAGAGAAGATGCACATGCATGGACTCCATGTAGGAAATGACACTAATGCTGCTTCTGGTGATCTCATGGTACTCCATAATCAAAGAAAGTCAAATTGGTCTTGACCACAGCATCTTTTTCCTTTTGGTGTTCAAAATTGCATTTGTTCCTCCAGCATCATCCTGACTCTTGTAATTTCTTCTTATTTACCCAGAGACTAGCTAAGAGTAGAT